TGCCATTTCAACTTGACTCACCCTTTTGTGGGCCATGCAGGGGTAAAATTTAGAGAAGGAAGTGGTCATTCCAAGTTGACTCACCCTTCGGTGAGCCACTGGAGGGTAAAATTTAGAGGAGGAAGTGGTCATTCCATCTTGACGACCCTTTTAAGTGAGCAAACATGCGGGAAAGGGCCTGTGTGCGCACTTGAGTCTCCCCGATGGACAGGTGTGCGCGCATGAGTCAACAACTGTGTGCGCAGATGAGGCGCAAGTGCTAACAAAATGTGTGTGCGCAGATGAGTCAAATCCGTGTGCGCGGATGAGCCGCCGCCCGGTAGGGTGCTGTCCTGATGTCCTCCTCCTGCTTCTACCTACTTGTCTTTTTGATGACCGTTTCTCTTGTTGGCGCCCCTTCCATCCTTGACTAGTGTATAGGTTTATTTGCAAATAGATCTTCCTAGTCTTGATGCTCTAGCTGTCCATATTCTCAATGGTTTTGTTAAGTAGCCCTTCTGAGAGTTGTTCAGCAAGAAGATTGGCAGATCAAGACGGAGAAATGTTTTAAAATTGCAAGAGCCAAAGCAAGAGTAGACATATAATTGAGAATAGGAAGGGCCTAGAAAGCTAGGCTAGACATTGAAAAGCCACTAGACAAAGAGAACAGGAAAGTACAGGAACAAGGCTATTACATATTCAATATGGCAAATGCAAACTATTCAATAAAACAACTGTGAGCATATGTTTGTTGTTTGCCTTTTGTTCCCTTTACTTTACACTTTACACATATTTCCTCAAACATTCTGTGTATATAAACTGATTTGCACATGAATCTTGAACATCATTCAGCAGATGCTATAGATATATAGTTGTGGAAGACAATTAGAGCATCAACAATGAAAAGTGTACGCTCACAGTGGCCAGCCCTCCAGGAAACGCCACCACCAGCATGTGTAAAAGAGTTATATAAGTTACAGTATATGTTACACCTTTGCTGAAATTTGTTTGGTTTTGAAATGGTGGTAATGAACATTCAATCGCACAGTATAAGTATAATCCCGCATTTAGCTCAGTAGCTGAACAAGACACCAATAGAGAGAGGGACAACATAGCAAACAAACTACTCTTTATGGAGTATCTACAGTGCGAAAAGTAATTATGTAGTTGATTTTGCTGTTTGGTTTTATGCAAATGGTTTGTTATTTAAATGCTGAACTTAGTTTTTGGTTGGACAAGACAAAAACGTCCGTTTTGGCTGTATTTTCATACAGTATCCAATTACTGTATATATACATTTATATTAGACCTCTACTGAAATGCGTGCATACACACTGTCAAAAAGCCTGGAGGCTGTCATCACAATCCAGCGAGCTTGGCGGAACCGTCCCCGCCAAGCGCTTCTTCGGCTCATCCATTCAGAGGACAGCAGGGTGAAATGAGGCTTTAGGCTTCCAACCTAATAGAGATGGCATCCAACCTAGAAGCGATGGCCTCCAACCTAATAGACAGCAGCGTGAAATTTTGCCACGAGGCTTTGGTTGTTGAACGGTTTTCCGGTCAACAGGAAGCAGCGAGTTTGAGACCAGCCATTTTCTACATTACCTACACGTGTTCTGCAATCTTTTGCAAACTGGTGTTTGTTTCAAGCATTGCCAGAGATATCCTGCTTACTGATCCATTAGGCGCGCCGGCGCCATCTTCAGCGTGCAAGCTATCAGACAAGGGCACAATTGTGGGAGGATATGGCCCGAGAAAGCACTCAGGAGCCGGCTCTTTACGCGAGGCCTTTTGACATGAGTCAGAGACAAAGCTATCGTCATATAGTCATATAGTTTTTACTGGGTGTTTCACACACACTTGCATTGGAACAATCCTTAGAGAGTTGTCACAGCTTGGAGCTATTTTGCCTGCGCACCGGGGATCTACTCAGCTTGACCTTCATGGGCAGAGCTCGGGAAAGAGTGCGGATCCGTTTTTGTTTCCATGTATATATGGGCGACTTCAGCGATACCCCAACGATACCTTGCAAAGTATGTTTTCTCAGCCACATGACATGACCAGATCCCCACACGTACACGTGGTTTGCTGCTGGTTTGCTGCTGCTTTTGCTGGTGCTGGCTGGCTTTGATGCTGCTGGCTGCTTGCTCCTGCTTGTTGCTTTGCTACTGCTTGCTTTTGCTTGCTGGTTTTGCTGCTTCTGGCTTGCTGGTTTGCTTCTGGTCTGCTGCTGCTGCTGCTGATCTTACGCTGGTTGCCTGCCTTGCTGCTGGCTTGCTGCCCCTCCTGGTGTGCTAGTGTTTCTAGTCTACCGGTGATCTGCTGCTGCTGCTGCTCACCCGTTGACCAACGGTTCGTCCACCCCTTTTTCTCAAGCTGCATTCCCTGCTTGGAATGCCACAAAATTGTGGAAAGACACAAACCATGAAAAACGATAGGGGATGTCCTAACTTGTCCGTTCAAGCACCACCAACAAGTAGATTTGGCACCACCACATATAGGTGTTGGCCTAAATAAATGTCGGAACATATTGTATGTTCCCCAAACCTAGTAGGTTGACATCAGATTCAGTTAGTCGTGCGATGCAACCAGGGTCCCAGGGTTTTGACTTGTAGCCAAACCGACACTCTAGGTGCCTTTCTTTCGTTCTCTCCCGTGCAGCTGAGGAACATCAGGGGACAATCATACCCAAGCATCCTGGTGTACAATGATGTTACAAGTGTATATATATATATATATACATTGCTAGTTATATTGTTATATGGGGACCCGTGCCAAGATGCTGGGGACGCATGACCCACAACAGGCTAACGTCTACCGCTTTTGGTAGCTCCATATTCCCGTGTGAATTTTTCTTGTCAAATTTAGGGTCATTTGCACCATTTGCGAGTTACCAAATGTGATCCATTATTTGGTTGTCCACCTTTGTGCCATCCCGAAGGACATATTTGTGGGTCCATCTTGGCAATTGGAGTAAGAACCATGCATTGAGAAGGTATGAGTTTGCAACAATGTTCGAAGCGCGGGATTGTTTATGATTTTTGAGCCTATGGTGGAAACGACAAAACCAAGGCAGAGGAATCATTTCATTTGACCAGGTGTGTGTTTACACAGTTCAACTGTACATATCAACCACTGCACTTTGTTTACACACGGACCGCTACAGAACACAGATTTATCATCATTTGCGATTGCTTACCACTTTGCATCCGTCTGCAGTTTTGGTCTTGCGTGCACCACATTTTAGTTATTTAAGTTGCATGCTGCATGCTTGTTATACTGTTTGTTTTTGTTTTAAGCATTACATGTTGTGTGCCTGCGTTTGATGCCTTGCTTGTCAGGAGCTAGGACCAAGTATTTGGCAGATTATGCAGTGCTCGACGATCCTAAAGGAAGCCCTCGAGGATGGGGTTCCTGTGCAGATGTTCGTTGGCTGTTTGGATGTGACTTTTCAGCAGAAGCACTCAGATCACTGGATCACCCATCAGGACGTCCGGGCAGCAACAAAAACGTGCAAACAAGTGGATGCAGGGCTGCAGGTTCTCGCGGCCGGTCTCAAGCGTAAGCAAGCCCTGCGCAAAAAGTGCCACGCGCTTTGGCCGCTCGGAATACAAATATCGCCCAGATGGATGGCCCACAATCTGACATGTCACTGGGTCATCGTTTGAATCAGTGGTTAGACCTGTGTTGGGATGTGAGATGTGTAGAGAGTGCAGCGGAAGGCCAACAAGGCTATGATGGGGCTTGACACAACTGGTTATTGCCACACAGACTTGCAACCTACAACTCAATGGTTTACAATGGTTTCGACCTCACCAAAGTCAAGGCGACAATGCATCTCTAAACTCTCCTGTAAGGCACAGAGAGAGAGAGAGAGAGGAAGTTGTGTGTTGTTTGCTGCTGCTGTACAACCACCCAGGCAACGCATCCGGCCAAAATTGGTTGCTTACTCCGTGCTTTGGAAAATCATTGATACACACCGGCGCACAGAGGCAGATATGCTTTAACTTGGCTATCACCACGTCAAGTGTTTTGAGTTTTGGGCTGCAATTCCTTGAGACGCCTCAGATGAACTGGGAAGCCTTACGACGTTTGGTGGCTACACCGAAAGCCTCAGAGCAGAAGTCTGAAGTGGAGGTGGGTACATGTGTTGTTCCTTTTCAATTAAGACTAGCACATGTGGCATTTGTATGCATTTGTTGATAATTCCTCAAACCACACCTTTTTGATGCAAAGATCCAGGCACATTGGGACAAGGTGCTACGTCTTGTCACTACACCAAAGGCCTCAGAGTGCACCACGGAAGTTGAGACGGATGAGGAGCCCCTTGGAGCCTTCTTTGCCCGAATCTCAAGTCGAATTGTCATGAGTTCTTGCTTCATTGCCTAGGAAGCCCTGTAAAGCATGTAACAATTAGATTCGGCACTGGCAAAAGGTCGCTGTTACATTGATTTGTTTTTGCTTTTTGACCAAGCTGGCCAAAGCTGAGTGCAATCACTGCAGACTATGGCCGTTTTCACGCCGCTCGCTCCTGCAGTTTGTGCGTGACCCTTCGATGAGGTGGGTTGGACCTGTTCGACGCAATGGGGGAAGAAGTGTGGTTGTTGAAACTTGAAAGAAGCCTCCACCCTGATAGTGATGGCCTTCAACCTAGAAGCAATGGCCTCCAATGGCCTCAAACCTAATAGCGACGGCCTCCAACCTAATAGCGATGGCGTTCTACCTACTTAGAAGCACTGGCCTCCAACCTAATAGCGATGGCCTCCAACCTAGAAGCAATGCAGCAATGGCCTTTGATAGTGATGGCCTCCAACCTGATAGCGATGGCCTCTGATAATGATGTCCTCTAACCTAAGAGCGAAGGCCTTCAACCTAGAAGCGATGGCATCCAGCCTAATAGTGATGGCCTCCAACCTAGAAGCAATGGCCTCCAAACTGATAGTGATGGCCTCCAACCTAAAAGCGATGGCCCCCAACCTAGGAGCCATGGCCTCCGACCTAATTTAGAAGCAATGGCCTCCAACCTAGAAGCAATGGCCTCCAGCCTAATAGCGATTGCATCCAACCTAGAAGCATTGGCCTTCAACCTAATAGCGCTGACCTCCAACATTGGCCTTCAACCTAATAGCGATGGCCTGAAACCTAGAAGCAATGGCCTCCAAGCTAAAAGCGATTGGTTTCATGGCCTCCAACCTAATGGCGATGGCCTCCAACCCAGAAGAAATTGCCTCCAAGCTAATAGCGATGGCCTCCAACCAAGAACCAATGGCCTCCAACCTAATAGCGATGGCCTCCAACCTAATAGCGATGGCCTCCGACCTAATAGCGATGGCCTCCGACCTAATAGCGATGGCCTCCTAGAAGCAGTGGCCTCCAACCCAGAAGCAATGGCCTCCAACCTAATAGCCACGGCCCCAACCTAGAAGAAATGGCCTCCAAACCAATAGCCATGGCCTCCAACCTACTGGGGATGGCCTCCAATCTAATAGCGATGGCCTCCAGCCTAATAGCAATGGCCTCCAACCTAATAGCGATGGCCTCCAACCTAATAGTGACGGCCTCCAACCTATGCAACTGCCTCCTACCTACAAGCAATGGCCTCCAACCTGGAAGCAATGGCCTCCAACCTAGTTGCGATGGCCTCCGACCTAATAGCAATGGCCTCCAACCTAGAAGCAGTGGCCTCCAACCTAGAAGCAATGGCCTCCAACCTAATGGCGATGCCTTCAACCTACTAGCAATGGCCTCCAACCTAATAGTTTAACATAGTTTAACAGTTTAAGCAGCACTCTGTCGGTAAGAATTCACTACCCATCAAGTGTGAAAGAAGTGTAATTGCTTATTGATGTCGTCGAAGGATCAAAGCAACTTTATTCGAGTATATAATAGTATATATATATTGAAGATAGATGGACGCTGTGGCGACATCTCTTTTGCGGAGGTAGAGAGAATCATGTACAACGCTTATCTCCAGGTCCTTGCACTTTGTGTTTGTCCATTTTTGTTTGAGCCAGGAACTTCGTGAGCTGCCAGCATAGAGCAGCCCCGGAGGCCACATGACGTTGGATATATGAGCAACCACATTCATTTAACGACATAGATAGTAGCTTGGAGGTGGCCGCATTTGTTTTCCAAAACGTTGTGGCCCTGCTGAACGAGGTAGGGGTAAGCTATAAAACATTTTACGACATCTCCTGCACATGTATAGTACTGTGGCATCAGAGGTAGTAGAAAGCTTGGAAAATGAGACTCCAGACAAGCACCAATATCAAATTCGATTGAACAAGATGTGGGAAATACGACCATTACTTTTAGCATTAAATAAAAGTTGTTTGCCTTTACAATATATCATTTCATTAGATGCCTTTCGCAGACGATCACAATGAAAGGTTGATCCGGATCCTAATGGGGACACCCATTGCCTGAATTGAGGCAAAAAGTATTCCTCAGAGTGAGAAGGTCCGCCTCGTGTACAGAATGAATAATTTGGCATCGTTGCTGGCAAGCCATAGTGCTACGCCGAAGCGTGAGGCAGTGTCTATGACCATGGCAGTAGTTAGGATCGCACAAAATGTGTACCACTTTTTACAGGAGGCAATTGTTTCGGCGAGCATGCGATGCTTGCCAAGCTTTCTCCACCTCCTGTAACATGTACAGATGGTGTCCAGCAACGGAGATTGCACATTGTGATTCTGGATCTCCTTCGTTTTCTTCAACGCAAGAGAGGTCCACCTTGTCCTATCTCATTATTTTGCCTTATTGGCAACTCCTGACTGAGCCTTGAGCTCGCAATTCTTGTCGATCTGCAAGAAGATTGTCAACATATGTCAACATGTTAAACCTGGTGATCACAGCAAGAACTTTCAAAATGCCTCTCTTGACCAGTTGCCTAAAACTCGAGTGGGACAGGTGTTCCTCTTCGACGCCTTGCGCAAGGATGTCATTGAGGTCCTCCGGCCAGTTCTGACTTCCACTGCCGTCACAAAGGCAGGCGAGAGTATTGTACCGATGATATCGACTGTATGTCATACTTGAATATACTTGATTCCCCTTGTTTGTGTAAGTGTTGCAATTCGTTGGGCCAAGAATTATCCCCCCCACTGCATTTTGCGAGTCATGGAGGTCATGCATGACAGCCGCGAAGACTCGTTGGAGAGCCAAGAAAGAGATGCATTATCCAAAGCAGAGCTGAGTAGGCACCAAATTAGCTTTGTCGATCACGGACTGGTTTGGACACATTCCCTTGACATCATCCCACAACAGTCAAGAGGTTTCTCTTCACAAAGGAGGCTTCACCTTACTTTGCGACTTGCTATTCATGCCAAGATTTAGTGTGAATGGACTCTGTAGCTGAGCTCAACAGCCCGTCTAGAAGCCTAGGTCCTTGAAGGTGAAACACACAACACAATTCTAAATAAAGTATTTATAACATGACTTTCTGTTCTTGTGTTGTGCAAAGCTGCTTCAAGCGAATGTCGTTTTCGCTGCAGCTTCGGACAAGGTCCGCCTTCTTGTCCCAATTTGGCATAGAATTGGCTGGCGTGTTCGACTCGCAGGCCAAGCAATTTTGCAGGCAGAGTGCTTTACTAATGACAAGATCATTTTTGGTCTATATACACACAATGAGTCACAATGAGGTTCAACATGGTTCAAACATGTTTAGTTTCCAATAGAGTTCAATATTTGATAGTTTGTACATTCGCAGGGACATATGGTCTCACATCAATTGACTTACAGTAATTTATGCTGACAACATTTGACAAACATATGATATATTATTGTATAATACAATATATACTGTATATATATATATTAATTTATTATGCCTGAGCAGCCTAGCTGAGACAATTTGGCCTGCCTGCCAATCATTTTGTGTCAAGCCTTTGCCATCACACAATATTGTCAGAACAATCAAGCCCAATCACTGAGTGAGATGACTCATGTAGGCAATACATCGTATGATACGACTACAGCAAGCAGCCAAACAGTCAGCGCCGCGCGAACTTCTACCTTCCTACAATCATGCAGAACTCGTTGCTGGCAGCCTTTCTTTTGGCCCTGTTGTTCTTTGGCGGAAAGTTGCAAACGCTGCTTGTGTTTGTTAATGGACACAAACCTTCAAGTTGATCTCACCCCCGCCAAACAGAGAGTCTGAGTCTATGTTCAGCAAGAGAGTCCCAAGAGTTTGGCTCCAGGCTCGCTGGACCAAAGATACAGGCAAAAGACAATGTCGTCACCTTTTTTGGTGATTGCTGACCTGTTTTGGGTGGAAGGCTTTGCGGAAAGGGATCTACTTTTAGGTTGTATGCTGGGGCTCTCATCGAAAGGTGTTTTAACGCTGTACTGGCAACTCATAAGGGCTTAATAATGCCTGCTGAAGCAATGAGTTTCTTATTCTGTAGTGGGTCCTGCAGCGGTCACAAGGAATTTTCTACATACATGCGAGACAAGTGCAGGAAGCAACACAGGCATTTCCAGGCTTGAAGGTGGTACCAACATGTGGGTCAGAATCGGTGTGCCATGGGGGGTGGGATCATGGCATCCCATAGAAGACCTTAGAACCCGTCAACATGTAGAAGATTGAATCGCAGTGGAATGGTGTAGTTTTAGAAACAACCTAGGAGAACAATTTATTGTTTCGAAGCTGTGTGCCATTGTATTTTGGATTTCTGGATGCAAAGCCAAAACTTTCTTTCAATCGATAGAAAATCTGTAAAGGCCTTGTAAACAGGACTGTGACCCTGATGTAACCCGATCGCATCGGGCCACTACTTGCGGATTAGCTTTTTTCGAGTTGGTGGCGGACCTTCGACTCCTCAAGTGGAATCACCTGATGTGTCTAAAGTTGGTGGCAGAATTTCTACAGCGTTCCATTGGGATTGACACGCAGGAAGCGGGTGTAAATCAATCAAACCCACACTCTTTCAGAACTAGCGTTCCATTGGTCTTGCACTCTTTGGGTCGGTTTTTTGGTGACAAATCTTGTTTGGGTATCAGCGTTCCATTGGGGTTGGCTCCCGGGGGTGACTGGGAGATTACTTTTTGGAAACAAAGTTGCCATGGTGATTTGGCACCGAAGCAGTGACCAGGGCTGACTGAGGGATGATTTTGTCAGGTTCCTGTATATGGTCCAGCAGTGCGACGCACATTCAAACAGTGGCAGTAGCTGCCACTTGTTACACTGTACGTCACAATGTTGCAGTTCTACCTTATGACCTTGCAATCAATTGCTCTGAGGCCCTGTGAGGCACTGGATGCATTGCCACGCATTCGCTTACGACGAAGGGCAACTGGCGAGAGACACTTTGTCGATGAATTCGGACGAAGCTTGGTTCATTGCTTTCACAGAGTGATGATTTGCATGAAAGAATCATTGAAAGAAACTGTTTGTTGTAATACTGTAATGTGTTGTAATCGATTCAATGCTTTGTGTACTTCCTCCACGTGAACTTCCGCCTTCTTTATGTCGTCGTTTGTAAAACTTTGGTATTGGAAGATCTTATTTTTGGTTGCTGGAAGATGTTGGAAGCGAACGATGTTTTGAGGCGAACGCTTCTTCCATGGAAGCAATGCGGTCGTGAAGGGCCCGCCTTGGATACCGAGCCGTGATGGCTTTGATCCGCGGACGTCTCTTACGGCCAAGGACTTGATTATCTTCAGAGCATAGCTGGGACCAGCCCTAGTTCCACGCAGGCTCGTATCAGTCAGGTTGGACTATTGGGAGGTTTAGTACCTGCTCTTAGGCTCTTGCATGTCATGAGCAAGACACGGTATTGGAAGTGATTGCCTGCGTGAAACTTTCTTGCCAAGTTTTCAATCTTTGCTGCTTCCCTGAAGGACTTTGAATTGATGAGGGCAGCTGGTTTGAATCTTCTGCGCTTAGGTGCCTTCTGCTGCCTTTAGATTCTAAGTGAGCAAGTTGATGTGTTGCCTTTTTGACAATGCCATCAGTGTTGCAAGTTGAGGTGTCATGTGGCCTGGTGTGGAACCACAGAGAAGCAGCTACAACGAAAGCTACTTGGCGATCATCAAAGACATCGCCCAGGAGGTGCAAGATCGACTCCGTTGAGCTTTTGCTGCACATGTTTTGTCAATGGAGGCAGCTACCTATGGGATCTACATTTTAGCTGACATGCACCAGGACTTATGGGTTTCGCGGTTTCATTCTACATTACACGTTGCATTCCAATGTCAGCATTGTCATTCGCAACTCCAGTTCCGTTTCTTGTGTGTTGCAGTGCGTGCTCCAGTTTTTGTTGTATGATGACTCCAGCTTTGCTTATTGTTGCACATGGCCTGTGGACAGCACAAAGTAATACGAAGGATTAAAGTATTCTGGATACTTTTTAACCTCCAAAACAATTGCGTGAGGACCTTTTGAGCGAAAAATTCTGTGGAGAAGGCGTGCCACTTTGGGCAGCACAGCCTGCCTCGGTGCCTTTCCCTGTGCCAGTTGGACTGCCTTTTCTACCAGGCACCCTGCACTACCACTTGTGCAAACTGTTGGTAACACTGGAAAACTATATAGAATGTTGGTGCATCCCGTCTTTCTCCTCAAAGTGAGCTCGTTTCTTTAACGTTCAGGTCAGGATGGATTGCCTACGCGTGGTGAGTGTGCTCGCTTCCCCAACTGGTTTGAACTCAGTGCGGCCATGGGCGTAGGACTGGAAAGGGGTCGCTATTTGGGGTCATAAAAGCTCAAGGTTAGCCATGTGTTTCTAATCATGCGAGAATTCAGGCACTGCCTATGACCGACTGTACACCAACCATGACAACTTGACCAATGCTTGGGGCTCCTTTTGGGGCAAGGCAGGGAACAGAATTTCTGTTGAGATTGATGTCTTCTATCAACAGTTGGACTGATTGCCATTAATATTCAAGCTTAGCGATTGGTACCCAGTTCAGGTGCAGCACAGAAAAAGAACATGACACGAGCTAGCTATGAGACTGATTACAATGCTGCGTGCTTTGAAGTGAAGTTTCCCTAAAAATCTAGGAACCAAATCATTAGTGCGAGCGCTTCCTTGAAGAAGCGTGAGCTATCCTAGAGTATCCTAGAGTCGTAGCTAGGAGCAAACTTGTTGCTAGCAGCTACCTCTTCTACCAGCCCTCTAGCGGCCTACCCCCCCGGGCTAAAAGTAAAAATAAAACAATTACAACTGAAAACCCACACGAAGTTGCGCACCTTTTCTCTTGGGCATAAAAAGGGCCTACGGTCAGGCCGTCGACATGGTCTCACGTCTTTACAAAATGTGAGTGTTCAGTTGCACTCCCCCTTCGCGACTTTCGCGAACAGCTCAAGACCCTATTCCAACCTGCTCCAACTGATCCGGTCATCATCCGGCCAGTCAAACACGTACGGTGATTCCGCACTTCCACTCAGGGACGGGGCCTGATTCGCCTCCATCAACATCTCATAGGCACCTGTAGCCTCCTGCTGCAAGCCCAGGGGTGGTTGCGGACATGATGCCATCGCCTTCGGCTGCTGATCACCTCCACCTCGTCGATGCAGGCCTTGGCACGCCGATGCCGCGCTCCCCAAGCTTCCATCTGCTTGTGCCCTTGTGGAGTCCGGAGTCGACCAGTCCGTCGTGACCGTGGGAAGCGTTGACGAAATCGTGCCACTTCCACTTGATCCACCTTCTGGTGCCGCCGTTGCAATGTAACACGGCGTTCCATTGTCTGTACGCCCTTCAACCAGGGTCAGTTGTAGTTGAGGAACTTCAACATCCGGCTGCTGCTCCATCATGATGGCCCAATCGTCTTCCGCCTGGTGCTCCCGCTGCCTTACAGCCATTGCTTTCACTTGTGCCTGGCTCCCGCTGTGGTTTTCCTTCATCGCGATTTGGTCCACGAATGACTCAAAGGACGGCCCGAAAAGTTGTTTCGTGAGCCCATCAGCTGGCAGTTCTGTCCCCTTGACATGATGTGTGTACCAGCCACTGACCTCACATCCCACTGCCGCCCTCAGGCCCGCTGCACGTAGTCGAAGATGGCGAGTCCTCCAAGCCCCCACATCACCCTGACACAATGCCAATGCACTCTTATTGTCCCCATATAGTGACCTCCTCACATTCTCAATGCCCAGGGCTTCAAGCAATGTTGCCACCCCTTCAGCCTGCTGGAACACTTCTGTGTAGGCCACCAACTCCGCTTCCGCTGTTGAGCCCGTGATGAATGGTTGCCTCGCCGAGCTCCACAAGATGGGACAGCCAGCCACCATCACAATCGTTCCGTGAACGGACTTGTATGCTTCCGCTGCTGGTGCAAATGATGCATCTGCATATGCCTCAACGTCCGCTTCTCCCCTTGGGAACTTCAGTTCTCCTTTCTCACCCAATAGGTGTTCACCCACCTTCCGGAAGTTAATGCCACGGTCAGCAGTGTCCCTTAGGTAGGTCAGGATCGCTCTTGCCTGTTCACACACCTCTCTTGGGCGACGATGCATTGCTCGGCTCAGAACTCCTGTGGCATGACAGACATCTGGCCGGCTCCTGCACGTGACCCACTGGAGTTCTCCGACTAGGGTCTGTGCCTCCCTCAATGTTGCGATGTC